GGTTGCCACTAATTTATTTAACTATGGGTGACTGCATTGGTTGAAAGTCATGGTGCCTTATTTGGCGGTGCTCTCAGTTATTGTGAATCCATTAGGTGTGGACAAACATCACATACAGCTTTCCAGAACAGGATAAACCCAGACAGATCATTCAGAATAATTCTGATATTTTTTGATTGACAATGCAAATTTTGAAACAAACAACAACAAATGGATTTCAGAGAGGTTGCAAAGTGATACCCCAATAATTCGGACTGCTTTATTATTATTATTTAGTGCATGTAAACAGGCTGTTATGTCAAACATTAGGCTAAATGTTTTTTTTTTTTAATCACTGTTGATAACGTCTTTGCTCAGTCTTGAGAATTTCCACCCTCTGACCTTAAACCAGTAATGAACTCCTATATTTAAAGTGGCAGATGGAATGGGATAAATGCCATTATTTCTATTAAATAAATACTAATATAAGAATACGTTTTTTTTTTTTTTTTTTTTTACAAATCGTAGTGTGATCATGTTGTTTTTACTAGGTGCCGTTTAGGTGACTCAGGATTTACACATGGTTTTTTATTGAAAGGTGAAGAATCACCATCATGCCTTTCTTGTCAAACTCAAATGATCATATCATATTCTATCTTAAGGACACACCAAGCCGACTTCAAAGAACTAGCGGCGACGAAAGCCAACGGTGTTGTTGCCTCACGTCGGCAGCGTCAGGCCAAAAAGCTGTGCTCGAACACATCGCACAGACTACAGCCGATGGCAAACTAACACGTGCGTTCTGCGCATGCGTGAGAGGATTTAACTGTCTATATCAGCAGCTATCAATAGTATATATTTGTCATTCAAAAGGAGAAACCGAAACAAAGATACAGTGGGTACGGAAAGTATTCAGACCCCCTTAAATTTTTCACTCTTTGTTATATTGCAGCCATTTGCTAAAATCATTTAAGTTAATTTTTTTTCCTCATTAATGTACACACAGCACCCCATATTGACAGAAAAACACAGAATTGTTGACATTTTTGCAGATTTATTAAAAAAGAAAAACTGAAATATCACATGGTCCTAAGTATTCAGAGCCTTTGCTCAGTATTTAGTAGAAGCACCCTTTTGATCTAATACAGCCATGAGTCTTTTTGGGAAAGATGCAACAAGTTTTTCACACCTGGATTTGGGGATCCTCTGCCATTCCTCCTTGCAGATCCTCTCCAGTTCTGTCAGGTTGGATGGTAAACATTGGTGGACAGCCATTTTTAGGTCTCAATTGGGTTTAAGTCAGGGCTCTGGCTGGGCCATTCAAGAACAGTCACAGAGTTGTTGTGAAGCCACTCCTTCGTTATTTGCTTAGGGTCATTGTCTTGTTGGAAGATAAACCTTCGGCCCAGTCTGAGGTCCCGAGCACTCTGGAGAAGGTTTTCGTCCAGGATATCCCTGTACTTGGCCGCATTCATCTTTCCCTCAATTCCAACCAGTCGTCCTGTCCCTGCAGCTGAAAAACACCCCCACAGCAGGATGCTGCCACCACCATGCTTCACTGCTGGGACTGTATTGGACAGGTGATGAGCAGTGCCTGGTTTTCCCCACACATACCGCTTAGAATTAAGGCCAAAAAGTTCTATCTTGGTCTCATCAGACCACAGAATCTTATTTCTCACCATCTTGGAGTCCTCCATGCGGGCTTTCATGTGTCTTGCACTGAGGAGAGGCTTCCGTCAGGCCACTCTGCCATAAAGCCCCGACTGGTGGAGGGCTGCAGTGATGGTTGACTTTCTACAACTTTCCCCCATGAGTGAAAAATTTAAGGGGGTCTGAATACTTTCCGTACCCACTGTATATGAGATAAACGCAGATATGCGAAACGTCAACAAAGTATCGCTTGCTTACCATTTTGAATATCAGTAACGTTGATAACTTTAATCATTTTAAGAGGCTCATGTTGTTATGAAAACATTCGCGTATTAGAATGATTTGGAAAGATCACGTAACATTTAAACAGCCTTCTGTCTGTACCGCCTTCATTTACGTGCTTGTTTTCATCACTTTCGCTTTAATTCTCAGGCGCTGACTCGTTCGCTAAACTGAACATCCAATCAGAGCTCTCACTCGCGCCGACGATCCTGACGGCCCCGTTGAATCGGGCAAACTGACGTTGGCGGCAACGTGAGCCCGACGAGAGCCGACGAGTGGAACACACCAAACAAACTAGCCCGACCGTGTCCCGGCCTTTACTGGACAGCACTGATTCACTGACAGCAACATTTTTATTCAGAGATGTCTAAGTGGTGTATTTAAAAAAGATATCATGAATGTATTTTAGATTTTATTTACATTTTGTATTCTTAAATGTCTTATATATTTTTTTTTAGCAGTCATTTTGTGACTACTGCTATAAACTTTGTACTTGACATGAAAATAGCATTTCTGCTGACCAAACAAACAAACAAAAACAAAAAAAAATTCAGTCCTGAGCTTTGAAAAATACATTAAAGAGATTGAAAGATGTCTGAATTAAATGAAATGTCTGTCCTCATTTCCTGAAAGATTCTTTGGCAAACCCAATTTTTTTTTCTATGGCATTGCTATGAAAACCTGCTTTTCAAAATTTGTATTTTTTAAAAATGTGTACAGCTTTCCTTCTCTAATTTTTATTTTTGAATAAACTATCACTTTACCTTAAAATTAAAATGTTTTATTTGCTTTTCATTTGGCAGATCATTTATGACTGTAGTCTGTTTTTTTCTGTTTTGTTGGTCATCTAAAGTGCCCGAGGTCATGATCCACTTTCATTCTCACCTTTCTTCAGTTACGCCAGATGGTCGGGCATCTGATTTAGTGAAACCGTTGCCATTAGATCATCGTAAGTGAGGTATAGTCAAGTGACATCTTCTTGCCTGGTTGCCTCTTGCTACAGTATAGTTCCCATTGGCCTCGCTGTTCACTGCTGAGTCTTTGCTTTTCAATGGCCCCATGGGTCAGTGCCCATCTGAGCATGATATGACCGCCAGAGCTCTACTGTGATTTATATCTCTGCTTCTCATTCCTTCTAAACTTTTGTAAGCGGGTGATTCCTAGCCTATATTTGCTAAAACTCATGCCAACAAATTTTTTTTTTGGTGTCCTTGATGGAAAGGTTTAATATTTCTAACCAAGCTCTGGATGATTGAAGGAAATTTAGGAGCACAATTTCATTAGTAATTTATTTCAGTGCATTTGATTGCTCACTAATCAGCCATCATTCTTTTTGTCTTGGAAATTAATCCGATGATAGTCTTACAGACTCTGAGACCAGTTTTAAGGGCGTTTAAGGCTAGACCAGTATGTCTGAGCCTCCCTTGCTCCTGGCTAATCTAAATTGATCCGAATACGGGGGCCGTGTTACCCGAGGATAACTCAGTGGGTGCTGTCCAATGCAATGAAGGCTAGAGGGTTTCTGCTGGTGTGTTCAACCGGCCTACTGCGCCTTTGCGCAACATCGCACTCACACAAGAGAATCAAATGACCAGTGCTATAAAGAGAGCTACATTTAATTTATCTGGCTGAAATACTGTCTAATAAACTATAGCTCACTCTCTCTTTCTGACAGGAACATTTTGATACTGGCGCATCATTTATTTTACCCCAATCGTATCCCATTACTGTGGCCGTATGCAGTAATGCTGACCTAGTCTCCTCTGTTTCCTCCTACAGTGTTTTATTATCCTCATTGTTTCTCTTGTCCTCTTTATACTGCTTTAAACTGACAGTGGGGTCTCTAGGCAAATGCGTCCTGCACTTGTGTCTGTGTGTCGACTGTTCCACTAGATAAGATAGACGACACTCGAGAAGAAGGACTGGAATATCCTTAAACTCACACACCAGTGAAACTCAACCAATTCTCTAGAGCTTTGTCGAACAATTTGGGCACAAACCTCCCAGGAAACCTACTAAAGGCTTACCAGTATGTGAAGATCTCTCATGACAAAGCCAGTGCAATGAAAGCGAGCATTTTCAGTATCACTTCGTTTGACTTTGCCTTTGCTGGAAAACACAGACGTTTTCTTTCTGTGGAGGACTGAGGTGAATTCTGTTTCAACATGCTTGAATGAAAGAAATAGTTCACAGAGTCATTAAAATTTTGACTTTCCTCTGTGGTACACGATAGAAGATAACTAAAGATTTTTGTTTTTAAGTAATTTAAAAAAAAAATAATTAAGTAATAATATAACAATACAAATATAATAAAACAATTAAATGAATTTTGGTGAATTTTGGACCTGATTGACTTTCATTGTATTGACAAAAACAGTTCTTCTTTTCGAACGAAATGATATTTTATGAATATTATACAGTGTGTGTATATATATATATATATATATATATATATATATATATATATATATACACAGATTTATTCTAAAATACAATACAATGTACACATATAATATAATATAATATATATAATATATTTTGGGAGAAAAACATTTATTAAAGTTTCCTTTTTTATATTGTGCTTAATAGATAAATATTGAGAATGTAAATGCAAAAAAAGTAGGCGCTTACAAACCTCGAGATTAATTATATGGTTTAACAGTATTATCAGAAAAATACTAGTCGCTGCGCCCATTCTAAAATACAATACAATGTACACATATAATATAATATAATATATATAATATATTTTGGGAGAAAAACATTTATTAAAGTTTCCTTTTTTATATTGTGCTTAATAGATAAATATTGAGAATGTAAATGCAAAAAAAGTAGGCGCTTACAAACCTCGAGATTAATTATATGGTTTAACAGTATTATCAGAAAAATACTAGTCGCTGCGCCCCCTCTTACTTTATCTTTGTGACTAATTGTCCTTTAAAGGCTATACAAGGAACACGATGAACTAAGCAGGAGCGACATCTCGCTAGGGCTTTGTTTCAGCATTCTACTTGTCTTCTCTTTCTTATTTTGCTGCCTACTTTACCCGTTTCTTTCTCTCTCTAAGCAGTGTTTTTTGTGTCTCTAAGCAGGTGGGAGTGGAACTTAGAGTGGAGAAAGGTGCGGAGACAGACCGACAGCTGGAAAGAAGCAAACTAGAACAGACAGCAGCAAGAGAGAAGCGTAGAAGAGGAGGAACACAGCATGAATGTAGCATGGAGGTGAAGGAGCGTCGGCCTTACTGCTCTCTCTCTCGGAGCAGGAGAGAACGAGGGAGAGACTGGGAGAGGGAAGGAGACAGAGAGGAGGGGGAGGGCTACAGGGAGGGTCCCGGCAACCGCCATCACACCGGCTCATCCTCCGTCCTTACCCAGAAGTCCTATAGCTCCAGTGAGACGCTGAAGGCCTTTGATCAACACCCATCCACCCAGGGGCTTTATGGGCATCGCATGCCAGACATGGTGCCAAGGGACACTGAGGAATACAGAGCTCCAGGTAAGTGCTCTTTAACATTCACCATATGGACAGGAGACTCTGGAGTCCTTCAGGCTTGCAAATGTGATGTTTTTTAAAACCAACAAGGAAAAGAAAAACAGGCGTTTGAAATGCTAAAAACAAAACAAAAAAATAAGAAATGCAGTATACAGCACACAGCTGAATAAACATGTATCTATTGACATAAATTCACTCTAAAAAGATTTTATGGTATATAAAAATTATTTTGCATCAGATTTTTCAGCTTGCACAATCTAATATTGTAATGAGAATCTTTCTAAATTAAATAAGTCCATTATAGCATACTGGGATATATGACCGGTCAGTAACGTGACCTAACTTCACCTTGACCTCTAACCCAAAAAGGAGCTAAATCTTCAGATTTAATTCAATTTTATCCAGAAATAAATCCCATGTCCTTGACAAAACATTCTAGACCATAAAGAGAAGACATTATTTTCCAAGTACATTTTAGGTCAAAGATCATTTCATAAAGTTTGCCTTAATTGGATATGCAATAGAATCCACACAGAAAAACAGCCATTATTAAAAATAATAATAATTATAATAATGAAAAAATATGTTTTATTTAAAGAAATTAAAGCAAGCAGTTTTTATTTTATTGTTTTGCTGTTCAATAAAACACATATGCAGGCATTATTTCTACAATAAAACAAATGATGAAAGAAAAAGAATAAAATAAGTCTTTAATATCACTATGGTTGCAAAATTGTTACCAGATATGTATGCTTTCAATCCTGGATATAATTTTATTTTATTGTTTTAGATTTTTATTTTTTTTGTGTTTTCCCTCTCTTTTTCTTATTAACATCAATTACATACAATATAACATGGGCAGCTAATTCTTTATAACTCTTAAAGGAACTACATTGCAGACCATTTACTGTTCAATGAACACATTTCTCCAAATCAATAAAAGTCTGATTGTATGGGTTGCAAAAAGCAATTTAACAGCTGTGTTGCACTGTGAACCAACACCTACTTTTTATTTCTTCAATATCTTGAATACCTTTTATATACTGTAGACCAAGCCGCAAAAATAGTAGAAGTTGTTTTTTTGCAAAGCACTAATTATCTAGAAATGTAAGCCCTTTAATGACATTTTAATTAGATTAATTATGATTTCAGCCTGTCATTGAACAGTCTAAATGAAAGTATTTTCAATCAACACAGAACAGTTAGCCAAAACACTTTTGTTAGACAGCTGTATTCAGGTTGGGCACCTTCATTTTCATTTCATTTTGAAATTTTATAAAGCCCACCAGACACTCATTTGCTGATTATTCACAAACTATTCAAACAATTTTATAAATATTTGATGGTTTATCATGATAAGACACTTTTTAAGTGGAAGGGTAGGATACTGCTCATTCAAATTTAATTTCATTAGAAATACACTTAGTTGGTTAATTGTGCTTTATAGTGTGCTCCATAACCTTAGGCTGTTACACTTAAGGGGATGTCTTTAATTAGCAGCCGTGTTTGTGCCTGATCGGCACAAAAGCTGAAGGAGAGAGATCTTGCCTGTATTCATGATACAAATGTTCTGTCATTTTATTTTAATCACAGCCTGGCTAAATCGTGGCACTTTGCCCTGCATTGGCTTCCACAGTTTGCAGTATTTCAAAATGTGTATTTCAGATAATGCCCTCGTGTGGTAATTAATGTCAGCACTTGTGTTGAGTTATTTTGTTTCGTATCTATGAGTGTACTCATAATTTAAATTCTGGTGTATTCATTTTCATGTGTCACCTACTCTGTGGGCTTTTAGTCATAAACCACTCAGCATATGCTAGCAGGTACAGGAATATGGTTTTAAAAGCAGAGCTGAAGGAAGTAGAGGGGTGGTGAGTCTCAAGGTGAATTTCAATCTGAAGTGGAACCGTTTCTATTTTGTACTGTGTAGTAAATCCTCAGATTTTCTTGTGTTGGAAGAGGTAGAGCTTACCCTCATTCAGATTCAGCTGAACAGATATTCACGCTGAAACAGAAAAGAAGATCGTAAATCATAAAAAGATAATTCATTTAGTTAGTGAAATAAACCTATACAGCAAATAATGCACACTGTTAAGAATCAAATATCAATGAATTATAAAATACTAGACTTTTTTAATAGGCTCTTTTTGCCTTTTTTATTTTGAGTAGGTATGATTTTATTTCTACATATTTTTTAATGAACATAAATGAAAACATGAAAATAGTATAACAGAAATGTTAACGAAAAAATGAAAGTATATTTCTGATGCTGTGTTAAAACAAGCACGTAAAAGAGACTCCCCAAGTCCAACTAAACATTATTTTTAATCTCAAAATGTGCCCATAATTAGGTAATCAATATTATATTTTGTTCTGCCAAAACTGTCTGAATGTTACTGTTACTTATTAGTTTCGCTTGGTTTGTCATTTTATATACTGAGTAAAAATGTATTGATAAGGCTAATTCTGTTTGTGATGTTATTCTTTTGAACAAAGGCCACTTTAAATTGATAACTCACTGTTATCGAAATTCATATTTCTCTATGAAAAGGTAGCAATAAATATCAAGGAAAATGTGCAACATGCAAAAAAGGTTTATTTAATAGTTTTCTCTTTTTCACTTTTCATAGTTTATTTTTTGCAGTTTACTTATTTTGTGTTTTCTTAAAACATCAAATCAATCTTTGCATTGGTAGGGAGAACAAAAACACAGATGTATCAAAAACACAGATCTTCAAAATAAATGAAAAAAATGATATATATTCATTCCCTGCTTAGAAAGAATAGTCACCACAGAAATGACAAACGTGAACTTGGGAACATAAAACTGCTGTTGTTTTTGCAGCATCTTTATTTAAATGCTTTAAATATCTAAATATAAAAGTGGATATACTGCAAGAGTTTGAATGCAAGTTTAAATAATTAAATAGTGTGTGCGTGTATTTTCAGCAAGTTCACAGTTATTTTGTGTATTACTTTTTATGCATACACTCTCTGTATTAAGTATGCACTTTTAATCTTGCAGGCCAGAGTCTGTCACTGAGGCAGCTTGGGATATGCGGCCCTGGTCCTCGCCGTGGTCTGAGCTTCTGCGCTGAGACCGGACTCAGTCATCATACACAGCTCAGCGGAGCAGACCCTATCCTGAATGCAGGGGGCATTTCTCCCGACTGCGCCATGCTATGGGTTAAGGCACACAGACGGGACTCGCAGCTGTCCAGCCGGTCCAACTCTGTTTTAACACTCACAGACACAGAGCAGGGCAACAAATCGGATCAGGAGAATGGTAAGTCCACCTGTGTTTTATTCTCAGTAGTAACCTCACTTTGAGCAAAATTCCCCAATAGTAAATGTTGGTGATGTAAAAACTGCAAAAATGGGAAAATACCCCTGAGCAAGTCAAGGCAAAGTCACCTTGAGTCACTCAAGGGCAAGGATGTAATTGGTTATAGCTAACAATCGGTAGCCAATGACTGGTTGAAGTGACAGTATTAATGGATCGACTGGTTACATTTGCAGCCTAAGGGGCATGGTGGGAGTTATAGGCATTTCAGAGAAAATAACATAATTTCCTGAAGATTATGAGCAAACGATGCAGAGAACTGTTAGACACTTCCTCTGGGTCTGTGCCGAATCGTAGATGGCTTTGTTAAAATCACTCATATTCGTGCGCAGATCCACAGGGTGTTGCTGGGCCTGCGAACAAACGCTACGGTGGATGAAGAGGGGCCCACTGGTTTGAAGTGCAAATTGGTGTGCGTTGGAATCCTTAATGCCTTACGGATTAGGGAATGCGTTTGAAAAAGCAAATTGTCTATATATGAAATACATGCATGTCAAAGCACATACATCTGTATTTTAATTTGATTTTTTTTTTCTGAGGACGCATAAATAGCTTTTTTCCTGCAGTGAGCATGGTGGACAAAGTTTATTTGCTGTTGTTGTGATGTGTCTAGTTGGTTTTGCTTTCAAAGGAAAAAACTGAATAGTCTGTGCCAAGCTCTTTTTTTATTATTCACATTCATACATTCTCTACTGAGTTATTGCAGCATATGCAAGGTAAGTAGGGGAAAAAAGAAAGTAAAGATTTAAAAATTCTTCTGCCATGCAGTAGATATTTTTAAGGATATGGGCATTTGTTGCAGAAAATGTTGCTTTAAAAGAGAAAAGGGAAAAATAGGGGAGTGTAATCCTACTCATTTCTAATGGAGGATCTGTAGTGTCTCATGTTCAGCGTTCACGGCATTGATCAAAGGAAACCGCATCTGAAATGCACACACTCAATTTACATGTCACATTAGACACTATTTACTGCTGCTGCCTCCTCGTTTGGTGTGATATAATGTTTAATATAATGCAATAATTCACTCTTGAGAAGCTCTTGTCAGTTTAGTTTAGAATATGTACACTAAAGGATAAACCAAGTAATATAGCGCTATTTAAGTTCACTAACATTTAATATTTAAATTTCAAGCAGAAGGATGCAAAAATCTGAGTCCACTTTAAAAACCTGGGATATAAAATCTAATTTAATAGTGGAAATAATATGTTATTATATGTATACTTTGCAATGAAATTTTTTTTATTTTTTATTATAAAAATGACGAAATCATTTCACTGGTAGTCTCATACTTTTGAAACCCATTGTGTGTGAAATTTGTTCCTTGTGTAGGAAACTTGTGTATAAGGCTAAAAAATAGCCTGGCAAAAGTTATACGAAATGTTTGATTCAGACATGCAGGTGAGTAGTATTTGACCAGCATATTCAAAGCCATTTTTCTTCTTTTTCTTTGCTGTGGATTAGGTCTGGGACTTGGTCCGTTTGAGTCAAAATATAATGATGTAGCTGAGAGCGGGCTGTCTGCTTCACAGCACTCCATTAAGAGAATGAGGTCAAGTTTCTCTGCACAGTCGTTCAGCTTCTGTATCTCTCCCCATCTTTCCCGAAATCTCTCCAGTCTGCTATGCAAAATACGCTAAAGCTGTATTATAGCACTGTGCTCTATGTATCCAGTCTCCTCCAGAGGGACTAGTCATTATTATATAAAGTTATAGACGACTCTGGAGAGTGACTATGCTTATTTATTAGTCAGTCGGGTGTTAAAATGTAAAAAGGGCATTTTTCATTAATGATTAGTCTACATTTTGTACAGTCAGTGTTTGATGTATTTCTAGGGTTTCACAGTTTGTGGTCTTAGGGTAGAGCAACCCTTTAAAACTTTAGTGGTACATAATGCTACAGATATTTTAATAAAATGAAATGATAAAATGGCTTTATAAATATGATGCAAACAGATTGATTTGTCTGTATTCCAGAATCTCTTACAGTAGGACTCTCTCTGTGAAGAATTCATGCAAATGTGACACAATGTGTGATTTACTGTAACAATTAAGCTGCACTTTTAAAGGTGTGGGACGAGTTTCCACAGAGACCTCATTGAGGCTGACTGTAAATTGTTCTGAGATGGATCTTTGGCAACCCATATGAAGCAAGGTCTGAATTTCAGCGTATATCTTTTCCTATTGAAGCAATTTCTTTGTTTGTTTGTTTGTGCAAATTATGCACTAACATAGAGGTGAAAATTAGCAGATTCGTCCACATAGATGAACAAATGAAAATCAGTTTTTAGATTAAAATCTGTCATACTGTAATTCCAGAATCACTGTGGATGAATCAACAATACCACATTCTTGTTGTTTCCCCTTGACGTCATAAAACCAATCACTTTCATTATAATCAACAAAACTGACTGCACCTCAACAATGTTGACTGCACAGCATGCTGTTGCAACGGTTTTTGGTTTTCTTTCGGTTTTGTTGCATTGGGTTGCACCGTTTGCTTGCGGTGTATACACTGTGTTGCACGGTACCTTTGAAAAGAAAGCAGCAGCAGTAAAAATGCTGTGGGTAATGCTCTCAGAGCCGCTCAGCTGCAGGGTGAAAAGCACTGCTCAAAACATTATCCTTATAGCACACCTGTTAGACTTCCATCTCCATCTCTCTCTAAAATAATATTTAATGATATTTCTCTGTCTTGTGTATCTAGTAGTTCTGCCTTTGTTTGCAATAAATTAAATAAATAGGCCATTGGCAGATCCATATGTCATAGATCATTATCTATCTTCATTACTCATTTAGCAGCAATGACCCCTTTCTCAGATTTATTTATCTGCTATGATTTTCGGGTACATTGTCAGCTTCTGACATTTTGATTGTCCTTTACAACCTGTGTAAGCAATTATTAAAAGTCAGTTTGTATCTGCAGGGTCGACTATATAAATGTAAGACAGCACATATTGCATCACACTGAGAAAAAAATGGACATAAAAAGGACCATAATGCTTTATGGGAGTATTTACGGAATATTATACATTTATTCACATTCATTATGAATATAAAAAGTAAATAGACCATATTTATTTAGTGTTTTATGAGGATTTTTTCAAAATTGTCAAATTGTCTGTAAATAAATACATAAATAAAACATATTTATTATAAATTATTCTATATTATAAATTATTTATTTACAGATCTAATCATGAAAACTAAATGCATTTTGGCTGTTTAGATATGTAAACTTCACCATGTCACATATGGAGATTTGGGAGCCTTGTAATCCATGCGTGAACAAGCAATCATGGATGGAACACGTGGACTGAGCAATCTCAAAGCTCAAATACTAATGGGGAGAAAGCATTCAACAGAATTTTGCTTCCGCATATTATCATTGCATATAGCAGAGGAATAGTAGTTTGGATTTCGATCTGTTTTGCACATATGCATGTGGCCAGTATGTAAGTGAATTGTGCACATGCCCAATTGGATACCAATTGATCAAGACGCTTGAAGTGACCAAGTATAAATACTCCCTTATGGGTACTTCTCCTGTTCACAGTGAATAAAGTCATCCTTATATTAGGCATTTAAAGGGATAGCTCACCCAAAAATGAAAAGTGCCATCGTTTACTCCATTTTCCCCTAATGTTCTCATGTTCTTCCAAATTTCCTCTGAAGCACATAAAAGAAGATATTTAAAAAAATAGTTTTGTTTTCAGATTCTGTATCTTCAGTCAGGTCTTTATATCAGAAGAAGATATTTTGAACAATACACATTCAATGCACAGGTTTGGATTGACTTGAGGGTGTGTAAACATTGAGAATTTTCATTTTTGGGTGAACTATCCCTTTAAGTAGGAAATCCACCTCTCTTTTGACATAAATATAACCCCTGTAGAGCGTCGTATATCAGAATTTGTTTTAGCTATAAACCATATTCATTGCTGGTATCATTTAAGATGATCCATTTTTAATGAAGCGCTTGAAGATATATCTCACAGTCTGAGATCTAGCGGCTCAAGGAACATCCAAACAAGGCTTCTTTCAAAATAGGCAATAAAACAATATTTCAGTGGTGCTGCTGTTGTAAATATGTACAATTTTTTGCTTTCTCTAAGCTTCAACTGGATGTTCATGTGAAAGTGTTTCTCTCTGATATTCATTTGGATCTTGTACTTCATACAAACTTTTATGATGGAGGAAAAATTATATTTTCATCCAGGAACATAAAAGCGAAAAAGTAAGAAGTTCTTGTTCTGAATAAAACACTTTATTATCAGACAAGGCCAGTCAGTGAGTTGAAAGATTATATTCATGACTAAGTGAACGTGTGCATATTTAAACGAGCTATAAAGGGAATTAATTAAGGTTGGAGACTTACTTACTAAGTGAACCTTCAAGCAAGACCTCCCACATACAAAACATTGTCGTCAAAACAAGAGATCCAACATATGAGCCAGGTTTGGTTTCAAAGTTAGAAGAACTTTTTTCCCTTAAAGGAACTTTAGCTAATTTGTATTCCTGTAAGGCATGTTAGAAGCCTCTACAGTGTGGCCAAGAAAGACATAGTGACAAAAGTCATCACTGTGAACAAAAGTTAGAGAAGCTCTTCGTTTGGCCAGGAAATAGCCTGGAAACCCAGCTGCCCCCTGCTTTTGTCTGGCCTGGTCGCTATTATCAGAGGATAAATGACCCCTATCAGGATCTTCAGTGCCTGTGAAGCTTTCTCTCTGTCTTTCTTTCTCTCTTCCTTGTGTGTGTGGGTGTTTGCACTGTGTTTTCACATGAGAGGAGTGTATATAGGCTCCGTGTGTGTATACGTTCTCACCCCCTAAGGCCAATGAGGGATGCGGTCTCAGTTCTTAAACATCATTATAAGATCAGAGATTCCTCTCTGATCTTATAATGATGTTTAAGAACTGAGACCGCATTTCCCTTGTGCACTGTAATATCTGCTCCACATTTCCATTTAGCGCACTGATGGAGAATCCGTTGCTAATGCACGTTATCTATATCAACTATAGCGATTTGGAATGGTGGGAAATCGCTCTATTGAAATGCATATCATAACAGACTACCAGGAAAAACTTCTTCGCACTCCCAGAGGGGCAGCCAGAAGCAGGTTTGGGTATGTGCGTCCATGTAGGCCGTCCCTCACCCGTCGGCAGGATGCTTAACCAACCATCTGTCACGTCTGCGAACATTTCCCCGCCTCTCTTTATGACATCAAGGTGTTTGCTCCATTGATCATTGCAGACACCAAGGCCAGCTTGTTTTCCATATGCATTTCCACTTTTCCACAACAATGCCCAGAATGTCCAGGAGTGTACAACCATCTGTGGCAGCTAAGAGATTGAATGAGTCTCTCTCGCAATGTAAAACATTTTTTGGATACAATCTCAACATGGCCAGCAAGCCATTCAAGTGTAGTTTTCACAGGGTTTTTCTTTTTTTTTCTGTAGGCAAACTTCAAACGGAAAGGCTGATGAGCCCTGTGTTTGATGCATTCTCATTACTCTGGGTGGCAGGAGAGTTTGGTCTGATGGTCTAAGTACAGAGTGATACGAGCGAAACAGGTCACACGGAGTGCCAGTGCAGCTTTAGCTTCATAAGCAGCACACAGACTGATAGAGATAATTACTATGTGTCAAATTGTCTCTTGGTCTGTTCTGCTTTTTTTATTACAGTTCAGCAAGAGGGCTTCACCTTAAAGGTTACAGTCTATAGCTATATATATAATGCAATTGATCGGCTTATAGCAGGATTAGGTTTTGATGGCCTAAAAAAAGATGACGCGCTTGTGCGATTCTTCAAAAGGCTTTTTCTGTATCCCACAACACAGATGGAGGGTGTCTTTATCTGGGCTTTAGGGTTTTTGGAAAGTGTTGCTCTCCAATTGATCAAGACGCTTGAAGTGACCAAGTATAAATACTCCCTTATGGGTACTTCTCCTGTTCACAGTGAATAAAGTCATCCTTATATTAGGCATTTAAAGGGATAGCTCACCCAAAAATGAAAAGTGCCATCGTTTACTCCATTTTCCCCTAATGTTCTCATGTTCTTCCAAATTTCCTCTGAAGCACATAAAAGAAGATATTTAAAAAAATAGTTTTGTTTTCAGATTCTGTATCTTCAGTCAGGTCTTTATATCAGAAGAAGATATTTTGAACAATGCACATTCAATGCACAGGTTTGGATTGACTTGAGGGTGTGTAAACATTGAGAATTTTCATTTTTGGGTGAACTATCCCTTTAAGTAGGAAATCCACCTCTCTTTTGACATAAATATAACCCCTGTAGAGCGTCGTATATCAGAATCTGTTTTAGCTATAAACCATATTCATTGCTGGTATCATTTAAGATGATCCATTTTTAATGAAGCGCTTGAAGATATATCTCACAGTCTGAGATCTAGCGGCTCAAGGAACATCCAAACAAGGCTTCTTTCAAAATAGGCAATAAAACAATATTTCAGTGGTGCTGCTGTTGTAAATATGTACAATTTTTTGCTTTCTCTAAGCTTCAACTGGATGTTCATGTGAAAGTGTTTCTCTCTGATATTCATTTGGATCTTGTACTTCATACAAACTTTTATGATGGAGGAAAAATTATATTTTCATCCAGGAACATAAAAGCGAAAAAGTAAGAAGTTCTTGTTCTGAATAAAACACTTTATTATCAGACAAGGCCAGTCAGTGAGTTGAAAGATTATATTCATGACTAAGTGAACGTGTGCATATTTAAACGAGCTATAAAGGGAATTAATTAAGGTTGGAGACTTACTTACTAAGTGAACCTTCAAGCAAGACCTCCCACATACAAAACATTGTCGTCAAAACAAGAGATCCAACATATGAGCCAGGTTTGGTTTCAAAGTTAGAAGAACTTTTTTCCCTTAAAGGAACTTTAGCTAATTTGTATTCCTGTAAGGCATGTTAGAAGCCTCTACAGTGTGGCCAAGAAAGACATAGTGACAAAAGTCATCACTGTGAACAAAAGTTAGAGAAGCTCTTCGTTTGGCCAGGAAATAGCCTGGAAACCCAGCTGCCCCCTGCTTTTGTCTGGCCTGGTCGCTATTATCAGAGGATAAATGACCCCTATCAGGATCTTCAGTGCCTGTGAAGCTT